CCTTATAAAGAGTAGTTGTTGTTTGTTAGATATCAATGCCTTAATTTCTGCCTATAGACAGAAATTTTTACAGCTGCTGGTCCAGTGACGACCAGATAGGAGTAGTGCCAATGCAAATTTCACTGAGATACTCTGGGACCCAGGAGCTTTTGAGAGTTCTTTGTTGTCAAACACTGGGGAATCAGGATACCTAAAAATACATAGTTTGTAGCCCAAAAGTCCACTGATAAATGAGTTTCTTTTGAAACTTCAAAATATTCCCTCCTTCCCCAGACATCAAAACTTGAAGTCTTTATTTCTTCTTCAGGGCATGAGCCCTGTGATCAGCAAGCTGAGTGAGAGTTTCTTCACTAGAAGACAATACCCAAATAATCAACTCACAATAAAATCAAGCTAATTTGACAGTGCACCTTCAAAGTGTCCTTGGAAAATAACTTCCAGAACTATGATTCTCTGGGAATGTTCCTCTGAGAGGGACCCAAGTGCTTCCCAGGTCTTGCACAGAGCCTAGCATTCAGGTGCTGTAGTCTCAGTTACTATTTTGGAGCAAAATTCTCACAAAAGTCCATTTAGATAGTTTTAAAACTTGAATATACTTCACATCCAAAAATGTTAAGGCTATTAGTTAAGGTTTCTAAGTCACATTGACACTATCATTGCTGTTAATATCAAGTCCATTTAGTTGTTGCCTTGGAGCTCTTTACAATACAAGCCAGCTTAGTTAATGAGTGCAGTTCTGTGTTATTAGTTACCCAAAATCAGCTGTAAAAGCTGTTGGCTTTTATTTCTGAAATGGAACTGTTCTCATCTCCAATGATGGGAACAAAGAATCAGCCTGTCAATTCTCTTCCTGCCAGCTGATGCCAGGGTCAGAGAAGTAGGTCACACCTTTCTGGTTTTGAGATGGAGCAATACTCGTTTTAGACCAATTTGCTCTGAGCACGGAGCTCATCTGCTGGGTTGAACCAGGGCATTGTCGCTTTCTCAAGTGCATTGTTCTGCTCTCCCTCTAATTAGCTCCAAATGTTTCTTGTGCCTGGAACACAGTGGTAGTGATGAATAATAGGCTCTCTTCTTTTAACCCTTCGACCCGTAATTTGGCTGTCCACTCCCACCTAGATGCTTTCACTTTCCTGTTTCTACCTCTGCTAGTCTGACACCTGCCTGTATCAGACTTGCTGCCCCATAACCTTCTCTTTCCTGTTCTGCAAATGGAGTAGGAAGTGCAGGAGCATGGTCTTGGTTCCAGCATTTGCTGTTGAGATCACGGTGTTTCCTTTACATGTGTGAGTGTGAATAAAAGTGCATCCCATATGCCCTTGGCTTTGGGAAGGGGGAGAGTCACAGTCACTCCAGACCTCCTGCTTTGGGGATGACCTGCCCAGGAAAGTGGTTCGAACTGCTGATTTGTAGAGCTGCTCTAGTTACATGCCAGAAGAAGAAAGGTGTTGCAGGCTTATCCTAAGAAATAGGGTTTAATTGCTGATCACTTTGGGTAAACAGTAATGCCTCTCAGATGTGGTGTCCTTATCAAGGGTAGGCTGCAAATATTAGACAGGTCACATATGAACAGGCACATGAGAATTGAAGACTGAAGAAAGCAGGGGTGACACATATGAGTTTGTGCAGGTGACTGAGGTTGGTGGGGGGAAGGAGAGGGGGAGACTTGCTGCAGACAAGTCACGGGGGCAATGCTTGGAGGAAGTTGGACCAGTTGTAGCCTGTCCTACAAAATAGTGCAATGTCCAAATATATTACCATCCTTTACACTTCAAATCCTCTTGCTCTAATTTGGTGGGATTTCTTTTTTTCCGATTTAGAAAACTGAGTGGTCAGCCCAGCATGTGGAGCTATGGCAGGCAGGCAGACCTTCGGAGGCCTGGCAGGTGTAGTGCCCTGGGTCAGCACTCCCATTTCGGCACAGCTGATCATTGTCCTCTGCTTGGCATACTGTGCCACGTCTATGCTGTCTCCCAGCGTGTTCCCTCAGCTCGCTGGCAACACCTTTCAGCCTTGAAAAAAACACTCAGAAGCCTCTACAAGCCTTTCCTACACAGAGGAGTGTAAGCACTGAGGGCTGAGAGCTTCTGCTCTCTACCTGCCCCAGTCCTGCACCTCCCCATGCTGCTTCCAAGAGAAATGCCCCCAGGTTATTGTAAAGGCCAATGTGTTGTCATCACATTCTGTTTGTTTTATAACTGTCCAGTCCTGTAAAGCACTTGGTGGCATTTGGTGTAGGTTGGAAGAAAATTACAGCTGCAATAGCATTGTTCCATGTCTCTGGTTGGAAAGGCTGAGCTTTTTTTTATGTTGATGTTGTCTGTCCTGAAGCTCACAAGGGCTGGGCTAAGACTGGGGGTGTTTCAGTGGTATGATGCTTTTGGATGCTTGAATCACAGGTCTCTGGCTGTCTGAGCAACATGCAACTCCCAGGGAGCTGTATCCACTATAAATTCCTTTCCTTTCACCGAAGATCTCTGTGGGTTGGAACTGGGAAGAGAAAGGGTAGGCATTGCAGACATTACTTTCTGTGCTACATGACCTTTGTGTGACTAACATCTCTGGAGGCTCAAAACACTGAAACTGGCCCACACCTCTTTGTCACTCTCATATATTAGTTCTTGCCAAAGTCTCTTCTCAGCTGGTACCACAGCCCAGGAATGAGTGCTTCAACTGGAGTACAGAATGGCCTGTGTTGTCCCTGGACAGTTTGGTGTAGAGAACAGTTTATTTAAGCTCATGTTCTTTTTCTTTGTAGAGACAGGTAATGACTGGGCAACAGAAGCTGCCCCATTAGCTGAAGGCCACCTTTGCTCCTTGTGTGACAGAGTCCTTGGAGCTGCTGTCAGTGTTGTGTCGACACAGTCTGTGAAGTGAGTTTGCAAAGGTGGGAGTCAGGCCCTACAGCTGAAAGACAGTTCTCTGCAACAAGAACCTTGATATTTGTAGACTGTAATTACACGAAGAGACCATGCTGCTAATCTAGTCTCACCTTCTGCCTCATTCAGATGAGATCTGTACCTGTAATGTCTGCATCAAGGCTAATAATTCACTGTTAAGCTGCAGCACATATTTCAGGAAGAAAGCAAATCTTGTTTTAAGAGCTCCAAGGGTGGAGAATAAAACTCTCCCCTACATGATTTGTTCAACTGATAAACTAATGGCATTATTGCAAGTTTTAATTTTTAAAAGTTTGTATTATTTCCAGTTTGATTTTATCCAGCTTTTATTTTGAGCTTCTGTATCTAGTTATAGTTTTGTTTACTAGATTCATGAAGGATCTCTGACAGTCCCCCACTTGGAAACGTTAGTAGATTTAGATCAAATCACCTCCAAACCTTCCCTTCAGTAAGCCAAATGGATCAGGCTGCTGAAGTCTTTCCATCTCCCTTTCTTGCTCTCTACAACATCTGGAATTGAATGATGTGTTAGGTTGGATCAATCATCTGCTCAGAGCAGCATCTGACCACCTATCTGATGATGCTTAAATGCATCCTGCTGAAAGTACTTCTTTTACTTGTGGCTTCTTTCTAGACCAAAACCATCTGCGAATATTTTCCACTGACTAACTCGACAAACCCGAGCCCGGAGCCGAGGGCAGGCGGTACCTGCTGCTGCTCCGGGGCCGGCGAGCCGGGGGCTGCGGGAGAGGTGCGGCGCCACCGGGGCCGGGACCGGGGAGCACCGGGCAGCTGCGGCTCCCGCCTCGGGAAACACAACTTGACCATTTTTTACCGGTTCCTCGCAATCGACTTCTTGCCTTCAGCTTTTTGTCGCTTGTTTGCTATTGCCCTCTAGTGGAAATAGGATGGCCAGTGGCTTGGCTTCCCAAGCTCTGTTTTCTCCTGGTTTTCCACTGTTTATTACTCTGGGACAATCGTCTTGGTGATACGACAGATTTCAGTAGCATTATTTACCTGGATTTTAACATTCAGCTTCATTACTCAGAGTTTTAGGCTATGCAGGAAACAAAGATTTGTTCTCTGCGATTGATAACTAATGTCCTGCCATGTCTGAGAGTAGAACAGACTTTCCTGGTCATCAAAATGTTTTGGCAAGAGAAACTGCAGAAGATGTTGCCATTTTAGGCTTAGAATAATTCAGTCCTGCAGTCAGAACTCTGAAGTGAACTCTGTGTTGCTGCCAGCACCCAACAGCCTGGTACATGGACTTACCTTCTCTTGAAGCAGAAATACTGCCTTTTTACTATTTGTATTTCTATCTAAAGTCTTTGCTTTTATTATAAAGAGTGAACTATTTAAAGCACACTCTTTCCAATCAATCATTTCCCTTTGTCAGACAAGCCAAATCATTTATTGAATGATCTTGGCTAATCAAAGTCTGCCTTCTTATAGAGATCCTAGAAGATGGTTTATTAATGAGACCTAGATTTTTTTTCCCCTGGTTGTAATGCAGGGAGATCTTAATAAGCAATGAATTGCTGTGTCTGCAATGACTTTTGAGAGGCTTAAAAGGAAAACAATAATACTATGACTAATATGATTGCTCTCCCCACACTGCCATCCGGTGGATGCAAAATTCATTTCCTTCTGTAAATGGGAAGGGAAATTCTCCTACTGATATCACAGCTTGCAAACTTGCACCAGGCAGACTCTCACTTGTAACACAATTTCCAGACCAGTGAGGAAAATGTTGGCTATTCTTTTTGTGGTTTCATATTAGAAAAAGAAGATTTCCAGTCTCTCATCTACAAAAAACATCCTCTACCTTGGAATGGAAACCTGTCTGGATCTCAAAAAAGGGCTCTAAAAGCTTCCCAGACTCTCTGCTCTCAGTATCTGGCATGGAGAGCCCAAGCCACTGAGCACTGCTACTTTGACTGCTTTTGGAAAAGGAAGGTTGAGCTCCAAGGTTCATTTTCAGATAATCAGTGTGTGGGCTAGCAACAACAGAGCCTAAGGCCTAGCACTGCATTTTTGGTTTTGGGGGGAGAGGCATGGGGATGGGAGTTAACCCTGTGCATTTTCCCCCTAGGACTGATGACTGAAATAATTAAAAGAAGCATGTTGTGGTGCTCACAGCCTCCTACCTGCTGGTCTGCATGTGACCTCACCACACTGAGATCCTTCCCAGCGCAGCAAATTTCACTGACCACCGTCGACTGTGTTGGCCACTTCACCATTCCAGAGGAGTCCGGAGAAGTGAGTACTGGGAGTCCCTCAGCTGAGTGCACAGATGTTGGGACTCTGTCATTGCCTGCATCTTTCTCCACTTCTGGACTCTAAATGAGTTAATCCAACAGCTGTAGCAATAGGATTTCCTGTGCCTCTTTGCAGGAGGGATGTGGAAGTGGAGCAGAACAGCCAACTTCAGAGAACTGAGCTGACAGGACCAACTCTGGCATTTCGGCTGCTGCAGGTGGGCCAAGTAATCACCAGGAAGTGGCATCCATCCTCTGAAGATAACATGACCCATGCTGGGTATGGTGCCAGCCCTTACCTGGGAGCCTTGGCCTTTTTTTTTTTTTCAGGGCACATTAGCTCCAGAGGGACTCTGTAGTGGGGTATTTGGGGCCATCATGGTCCCAGTCTGGAGGTGGGAAGTCCTGCCTGCCTCACGGTGTTGCCAACATGTTCCAGTTCTGAGTCATTCCCTCGCCTGTTTGTTTTTGGTATTTATTTATTTACCACTGAGGTGTCAGCCCAGAGTAGGCTGACTGTGCCGAACTCCTTCGGTGGCCTGGTGGCTGCTGCCAGCTCTGTCAATGTCCTGCAGTGTTGGGAGTGTTTCACCCTAAGCTGAGGGGGAGAGAGATCGGGTTCCTGCGAGAGTGATGCCACCACAAGCTCCCATCAAAGCGTGCCTGGCTCTAGGTAACGAGGGCAGTAGCACAGGGTAAACTAGTTTCACCCTCCCCACAGAGTCCCTGGCTCCCAGATCCTTTCCCTGAGCCGGCTGGGGGGGTGGAAAGAGGTTAAGAAGCATATCCTTTGCTGTAATTATATCCTGTTGCTAGAGATATTGTGCTCTGCTTAAAGAAATCATCATAATACAGCCTCCCAGAGAAGGTAATTACTGTGCATCTTATGAATGGCTGCATGTGAATGTCTGCTCAAGCTGCTGTCAGCAGCAAGTTTCAGCACATCTTACATACCAGGCATTTTACAGCCTTAGTTTTATTTGTTTTCATCGCCCCTTGCCTTGTGCTTTATTTTTCATTAATGGATCTGGGGTGGGGGGTTTTTTTGTTTGTATTGGTTTTCTTTTTCTCTTTTTTTTTCTTTTTTTCTTTTTTTTTTTTTTTTAAGAAGCCAGAGTTCATGTCTTTGATGGAGCATTTGAGTGGTGGCCACAGATTTTACTTGGTGCATTTCCATTGCTTTGTGGTGGCTTGAGGGGGCTGTCTGGAAGATATTGTTTCCGAGCCGTTCCCACACGGTAGCATCTGAGTGGGCCCTGGTTTCCTAGCCTGATCCCAGATAAAATGGAACATACCACTGTTGACAAAATTTGGTGTTACTACCTCTAGCTCAACAGCATGGATTTAAGCCCATGAGAAAACTTATTTTCGCTGTTCTACTTTCTGAGTTTCTCTCCCATATTGAAAAAGAGTTGGTCAGGGACATCAGACCTTTCAGCTTTCTGAAGCCCTGCCTTGGTTAGCAGTCAATATACGTGTCACTGTGAGGTGGCTGGAGTTTTGGAGAATCACAACCTGCACACAGGTAATTCTGCACACAGAGGTTACCATGTAACTGTCTTCAGAGCCTTGTCCCTTGATTTTGCAGGGCCATTTGAGCCAAAGGGATGGGGGAATGCCAAAGACCCCTGGCTTGTCACAATAGGAGTGATCCAGCCACTCTTCCTTTCTCAAAGGTCACTCGTGCTTGCCTTTCCCCAGCAGTATGTGTGGTAATCTGGCCTTGTGCTGTGCATGTAGGGCCATTGTGACACCCTACATGGCTGTAAAAATATCATGTCCATCTCATGGCTAGCTTAAGGAAGGATTTGAAACTATTCCTTGGCTTGCTTCTTTGTGCAAATGGCTGGGGCTCACTCTTGCAGTGCTGAAGCTGAATTGTCTTAGTACCCTCAATGATTTATCGTGTTTGTGGCCAGGCTTCTGTGCATGCAGAGCATCTGCTTTCTTGCATCCAGAGGTGGCTTCATCCTGATACTGTGTCCAACTCTCTCTGTGATTCTTAGTAAAGCCTGAAAGGCAGCCTAGCTCCTGGAGGGTGGAAGGTGCTATAATAAATGCGAGTTCGTAATGTTATTGTTAAAAATAACTGGAGCTAAATTATAAAGAAAAAAATCATCTTGTTCAGTCCTAGCCCAAGGGAGAAATGGACATGAGGAATTGGGCAATCCTTCTGTAAGTTCTCTTTCTTTAGACTATATTTAAACCATGCAGAGAGCCAGATTCTCAGCTGGTGTCAATTGTTGTTGACTTCAGTGGAGTGAGGCTGGTTTACACAAGTTGAGGCTGCTAAATGCCAGCATCTGGATGAAGCTGAGACACAGCTGGAATTACTTTTGCAGAAACCTCTAATCTGATGCTGGTTCAAAAGATCTGAGCCCTCCTGAGTGCTTTGATTTAGCAGTTCTTTTGGGACGTGAAGGCTTATGAAAGGACCTTTACTCAGGTCAAAATTTGCTTCAGTCTCAACTGGGTTCTGCATCTCTTGTGTCTGTCATTGTGCTTTAGCTGGACTCCTGTGAAAAGCTCTGCAAAACCTTTTTTACTTGCTACTTCACCAGCATCATCTCCTGTCTAGACACTTTAATTATGAGAACCAGGGAGCATACAGCATGATGTGTAGATAAACCTGGGTAACTCCAAGGCAACCGTGTGCTGTTTCCATCCCTCCCCTGACTGCCCTCTAAACTAGTTTTGCCAATTTGTTGTCTGTTCCAGCATGAACATTAGCAAAATGGGGACTGCACAGTGCCACCTGGGCGATATTCATCTGAACTTTGCCTTCAGAAGCAAGTGTTCCAAACCGTAGAAATGGAGAGGCAAACCTCAAATTGCAGTGGGATCTAGCAATAGTACATTTAGCCTTCCAGACTTCTGTTTTTCTCTATGCCCAAAACCTCTCTGGATTAAATAAACAACCTCCCCCACCACTACTGTCAGCAGAATGTATTAAATCTGTAAGCTGATTTCAGTGTTTTATGTGTATTTGTTGTATCCACTCTAATTCTGTTCTTATCCATGGACTTGCTTTTTATTTACTTCAGCACAAACTGTATCCAAACTTGAGCTCTATCTATTTCAGCTATGTCCTTTACATAAGAGCTTTTAAAGCAACTGATTTAATAGGAGGCCATCAAATAATCAATAGGTCTAAAACATTGGAATGCATTTGCTTGATTCAGTTGCTCTCCGCAGTGTGCCATCTCCAGGAGTGTGTAATGAGAGGAAAAAAATATTTTTTTCTATTACCCTTCTTTAATTTCTCATCTTCCCTGATCTCTTGGTATAGCTGGTATCAAAGAGAATTGTCTGTGATACTTAGCAAGGCCCCTGGGATTCAGACTGTTTCCCAAGTGTCTGCACTCGCCTTGGGGTGCTGTGCAGATTTCCATGGGTCTCTGCAGGAGCTGGGTCATCTGAGAGTAATCTGTTTGCTGTATTTTGATTCCAAATCAATGTGCTTTGAAGTGGTTATAGGGAGGGATTTTTCAGTTGGATTTTTTTTTTTCTTGGTAGCAGCTTTTGAAAGGCGCAGTACTGATCCATGGGGAAGTGCCACCAAGCAGATGCTTCTGCTCCAAGGGAGGCATCTTTTGCACTCCTGGCAGTGACATGGGTGAGGGAAGGCTCTGGGACATGCATTTAGGTTGCAACTCTTTATAGTCTGGATCAAAAAGCACCTTTTTATGGGTCCTGGTAGTTCAAATGTGCCATGACCATGGATGACTTGAAAGAAGGTGATACTAGAGGCAGTTAATGGGTGACTGGATGAATCTCCTAGCTTTGGGCTCTGGCAGGAGCTGCTGAGTTCAAGCTGCATGGTGCTTCCTTTTTGGGAAAATTGCACCGGTGTAATTAGAGTCTGTTTCTCAACTGATGGAAAAGTCTATCTGAGTACTCTTTCTTCAGCGTGAGCTTGGGGTTTCATCTGAATTCACCTAGGACACACTGACACCTAGGACATTCTTTATAAAAAGAGCTGAGTTTGATGGCTTATGTACTGAAAGAGTGGACCTCCAGTCCTGAGCCCCTGAAATCAAACTCCAGGTGGGACTTCTAGTCTAAGTGGGGATGTCCTCAGCCTGCACCGAGCCAAATCTGAGACTCCAGCTGGAGCTGTGGCTCTAGGACTTTTCCCAAAGGAGATTCAGGAAACAAGGCCAGGCCAGTTCCAAGCTTGTATGGAAGTGGGAGCCCATCTTTCCCTCCCCAGCCCTCAAATCACTCTCTCAGGTTGGTGATTTGCTTTGGCTGAGGATCAATTTTAGGTTGGGTTATTGAACACTTGCTCATATCCCAGAACTCAGTGCATGCCCATGAGCCCAAGGAAAGAGGAAGCTCCATGCGAAGAAAGCACAGTTCTTTCCCTTCTTTTTTTACCATCACTGCCTCATCATGTTACTGTGGATGGGTGCATGGACATTGAGTTACTATGGTTTCCTGCACCTGATGCAGCTCTCAACCAGTCCATAACCAGTTCTCCCATGCACCCAGCCAACAGAGCCACATCATCCCTTCTCCCTATATTGATCTTCAGTTGGATGATCTTTAGAATGGATGATCTTTGCTACCTTTTGCATCGGACTGCCAGCTAAATCTGCAGCAACAGCAGGAAGCTAGTTGTTGTGTAATCTATAGGAGAGCTGTAGGAAGAGTAGGTTTGTACTTCCTACACTGTTTTGAAGGTGAGGGTGCCAGGCTGGGTGTGCATTGAAGGTCCCACTATGGTTATTTTACTTCTATCTTTGCTGGAGGATGTTTCCACAGAATGTACTATAGCAGGCTTTGAACCAATTTGTTGTTCCTTTGTTTATGACGAAATTAGTTCACTTGTTTGATGTAAACTATCCATGAGATTGTTTACATTGGCACAGGGATCCATGTGCTTTCTGAGATGCAAGGAATTTAGCTACTGGGAGCTTGTTTAGTTTAGTTTGTTCCATTTGCAAAACAGATGGTGGTGGGGAAAATGTGTGTGGGGGGAGGCTTTAGGACAGGATTTTCTTAATGTTTGCTGCTTCTGTAGTTTCCTTTGTTGTTTGCTGGCTGAAGCAGGGTGAGTTTCCATCACAGAGAGAAGAAAGACAACACATAAGAACTGATATGCATTTTGCATGCAGGGAAAAATAAATATAATTTGGAATTGAGCTGTCATTTTGTAGGCATCTTTGCCAAGGTGGAACTCCCACTTCCTAGGGCTCGTGGAGGTACAGAAGAACCATGGAGACCTTGTACATTGATTTGGCTCTGCCCTCCTGACTCCTCTGGAGCCCTGTGGGCCTCAGCAGACCTGCAAGGTATCTGTGATGGCAGTGTTGTGCTCCTGCAGAGCAAAAGGAGGGAAATCTTCATGGAATGTGTGCCTCAGAGCTGGCTGTGGTGAGGTAAGGCTATCACCATGATACCGGGATGTCCTTTCAGTGTTAATGTATTAGGCACAGCTCTCTGCTGAAGCAAGGAAGGGCTGTTGTCATCAATGGAAACTGAAGCAGAGAGTAGAGAAGACAGGACCCAGTCAAGGTTCCACAGAGGGTACCCGAAGGGGAATGCGGGTGGATCCCCACTCTGCTCAGCCAACTATTTGAGCCTTGCGTCAGGCTGATCATTTTGGAAAAGGCCAGAGTTTCTCTTTCCAAGGGCCAAGTCAGTGACAAGTTGCAAGGGATGCCTGGAAGGCTCTGCCATGTCCATTTGTGGTGGCTTATGCATGCTGGGTTGTAGGGCACTGGGAGAAGTGCCGCTTTCTGTTGTATTTTCTAAAAGAAAGATTGCCTGTTCTCATGGGCTCTGACACTCTACTTTATATGTTTGGGAGACTCCCCACAAGCCTTCATGTTCCTGTCTCTGGGTTTGTTCCGGGTAGCCAGTAATTCCCTCCTTGCAAGATCCTCATAGGAAGGATCTTGGACTGATCAGCCCTAATCAAACTTGGCACTTGCTTAGGGCAGGATCATATTCCCCTGCATACCTCTGTGGATATGGCAGGCAAAGAATTCCTCATCATGTCTGATGACCTTGCCTGCAGTGCGAAGTGCCAAGAATGCCCCATGTTTTCTCAGGGTGGGGTGCTGTCCACCACTAATGCCCAGCAAAGCTGATGACAGGGTGAACACACGCTGGGATTGCTGGTGCATTTGCTGGTGGGCTTGGTGGGGGAGGATCCCGCATGCCACCACCTGGTTATTTTGGGCAATGGGCTGAGCTACTGAGCTACATCTTTCACTGCTTCATCCAATTTTCTGCCCCTACAGAAGCATTTCTCAGACATTAATGCTTTTCCCATCTAGATGTCATGTTTCTGGGAGACCTTTATGCATCCCACTATAAGCCCACTTCATATGCTTTTACCCTTGTTCAAATATCAGAGCTGAAATGCTGTTGTTAAAGGTGCTCAAGTGTTTTGCAAGCCTCCACTGACAGAACAATGTCTGCCTTGCAGGTCAAAAGGTTTTCTGTCTGCTTACTGACCTCTTTTTTTACCAAGGCTAGCTGGATGTCTGTAGCATTTGGACAGATGCTGTTGAGGCAAGTGGGGAGTTTATTAGCAGACATTTAGCCCTTGTCCCTTTTAGATTTTTTTGGAGCTTCAGAAGTCTTATATC